TCTTAATCATAAATAATAAATTAAATTTTTATTTGATCCTAATTATAAAAAATAATTAATAATTTTTAAAATTATTCAATAATAAATTTTTTATCTTTAATTTATTGATAATTTTATTTCATATACATTCATTTATAACTAACATTAAAAATAACAATTACTTAAAATAAAAATATCTTTGAAATGAAAATTGAATTTATGGTATAATTAATTAAAAATAATCAACTTAATTAGTTTTCTAGATTTAAATATTTTTTTTTATGTTACTTATAATTAAGATTGAAAGTAATAATATTTCTTTTATATAATTTTCTTGATTTAAATTTTTTTATTATTGAATCATTTTTGTTAAGAATTAATTTTAGTAATATATCAAATGAAAAAATAATCTTTGTGCTGGTAGGACTTGCTTTTCATCTGGAAATAAACAGAGAGGCAAATTAAGGAGAAAAAATAGTATAAATATATTATTTTTTACTATTTGTTTAATATAAAATATTGTAAATTTAATATTACTAACTAATTAACTATTTGTTTAATCTATATGAATTTAAAAAATCACATATCTCGGAATTAAATGAATAACAAGAATCGGATTCAAACATTATAGATAATATTATATATAAATGAATACATATACATGAATAAATATATATAGTCATCATTAAAATTAATAAATATTTTATATCAATAATATAATTTTTAAATAATAATTATAATTTAAAGTATTAGATGAATAAATATCAATGAACACATGAATCAACTACTAAGGGTTTATTCTACTTTTAAGAGTTTGAATATTGTCTACACAATTATCTTAAATATCTAATTATAGTGGTATTATATATATAATTCGAACATAACTATCTCTAGAAGGGGAGAGACTGTTCTACTTTTAACAAAGTGATATCAAGTTTGAATATGGTGTACAAAATTATGTTAAATATTCTATTAAAGAGGTATTATATATTTCGAACATCACTGTATCTAAAGGAGAATACCTCATATTTAAAAAGAAAATAAGAAATCTTTAGCTTTTAGCGACCTGGGCCTCGGAGTTGTCCTCGATTCCACTTACAGCACCATGGAATTAAAGTAGTGGGCCAACATTCAGGCCTGGCTAGCTACCCAAATTCAAAGAAAAATATAAGTAACCATTTATTCACATTTTATTTCTTTTTCTTTTTTTAAAATGAACAGAGTTTCATATATACACGAGTCACGATGTGGGTTATTAAACTATGAGAGAGAGAAAGTTTTTTACATTTTACTGAAGATTTACCTACTTTGCCTTTGTAGATTGTAAGATAGTTTGTTAGGTGACTCCTTATTTGCATATGGCCCACAAGAGAGCTTGGTAGGTGCAAATTTAATGCAATTTTTTATACACAATAACTTACGAAGAACAAAGATTATCGACAAACATCGTATCCACTTATAAAGAGAGTTAGGTCAAATAATCATCTTATAATCTGTTCAAAACATACACGAACTATTTGATTTCAACGAAAATTGAATGATAGCATGATCCTTAGAAGTCTCAATAGCAATTTTTATTACATCAATAATATCTATAACTAATTACGATGTTTAGGGAACTAAGAATTCGGTAAATTGGTTATAAATAATGATATAAGATTATAACAAAGACAAAATTATGAGTTTAAACAATTTGACATAGAAGTTGTAACTAACATTCCTTGTTTTGGCCTGAAAAACACGAGCACATGTCCACATAGCTATCTGCTCGACATATTTAATTCAACAGCTATGTATTAATGAAAATTCTAATATACTTTTGGTTCTTATTCAATGACATGAAACTAAAGAATGAACTTTAATTGAGCATTTTGTTTCTCAGATTAGGGCCCTTTTAATAATGATGGAATGAAGACTAGTAGTATTATATTGAAGATTTAGCTGATTTCTAACCAAAGTTGTAATATTTATTGAATAATTGATAATCTTTAAAAAGTTTTCCATGGAGGATGGTATGGACTGCAGGTTGAGCTTGGGCCATGGTACTTTTACATAATGCCCAAAAAAATGAACTCAAGTTTGGTTATTGGGCTTGAGTCTCGAAAACAGAAACGTTTGTTTGGTCAAGTTTCTGGGCTTTATTTAAATTTTGGTCATTGCACGGTACCTTGCATTTTAAGAGGGTATCATTAAATTTTCATTCTAAACAAATGAAAAACAATCATTTGGACACTAAAGTCATATCATAAATCAGTTAAACTTTAATTTTAACATCGTTTTATATTTTATAATTAAAAAAAAACCATTGAAGTTTATTTAAAAATTTTAAAATTAAATATTAAACATAAAAAATACAAGTGTAAATGAAATGGAGTTCAAAAATAACCTTGAAACAATTTCATGTTATTTCATAAAGTGCATATTACAATTTACAAGTGCACGTATTTAAAATTTATTGGTCTGAATAATCACAATTGCCATTATAGTTTCATGGTTTTCTCACGAAATGAATTTGTGGGATTTATTCAATTTTGGCAATTATAAGTGACATTGGCAACTTGGCATTAGGCTCTGCCCTTGTTGTGCAAGGATGAAGAATATTACTCGCTCTGTATTACTGTTCCTTAATCGACATTCAAACATCATTCTTGTGTTGTAAACCTTCACATCTTGTAACAATTGCGGTTCAAGGAAAATGACACTTATGCACACACTTCCTTAAGATGTCCTAAAGTAAACTTATAGTTGTATTAACAGTGTTGGCATTTCCACGCGCTGCCAGTGTGCGTCTAATTAAGATGGAAAAGGAAAAAGAGCCAAATGAAAACATGGTCTCTCATGCTGGGTTTCCACACTTTGAACCTTGTGATTGTGACAAATACTTTACATTTTGAGGACTCGAAGCATCATCGTGGCACTAAATGCTGCTTGATTTTCGTTTTGCATGGCTTTTTTCCATGTGCCTCATGCCACACCATTTCCCCGCAATTTTGGTTACAACCAAAAGTGCTTTTCGGCCTTTGCCTCATGCCGTAGCAACCGAAATTAAAGGAGAACCAACAAGAATGGAAAACATAACAGTAGTTATCATCAAGAAAAAGAAACCCAAGAATCCCGTGAATTATTTAAAACCGATTAGTGTCTTCGAAGTTCGAACTTCGTTCCTACATGCTCCAAGTGTTGCAAATTCCACTTGTCTTTTTGTGTCGGTAGCTGCAACTATTAGTCTATTACTATTAGCTTCTCAATCTATCAAACTTCAAACTTCTCTTTCTTCACGTTGGAATTCTAAGCTTTGCATAAAGTCGTAACTATGGCCAAAATAAAAGTACACTGCTAAAATTGCTAGACTAAGTATAAGTGGAACAATTCGCAACTCCACCTAATGTTTCTAGACGCATTTGTGCGTCATCATTGGTTGTATTGTTTGTATCTTACTATATACTAAAATTACAATGGCAGTACAAAAGTAAGCACTGCTAAGAAATATTTTTTGCCCCTCAAATGAACAAAATTTTTCTCTATAACCCCAATTAACTAGAAGCTATCAAAGGGGTTTCATTATTCCCTTGTGAATTGTGATGATTCAATCTAGCAAAAACCCCTACTAGTGCTGCAGTATTGTAGGTGCAAGCCTCTGTTTGAATGAAATTTCTTCTCTCATCTTTAAATTGGTCCTTAATATCAGGCCCACCCACGAGGGCCCCAACGAGTACGTTAGGGTTGGGCTCAGCGCGTCCATACCAATTGTCATAACCCTGAGTGCACCCAATAAAACCCTTGTTTTCCCCAAATGATTCAATGGATGAACCCCTATGGTGCACCTTCTTTGGGAAATTGGGACCATAGCCCACCAAGTAGCTCATACCCATTGGATTAGAGCCCAAGATGTAATCAACCTGTGATTTTGCAAAGGCGAACATCTCATGGGGGCCCACCTCGGCCTTTGGGCAATTCAGCTTCTGATTTGTGGCTAGAAGATGATCAGAGTAGAGTGTGAGAAGAAACGACGCCGTTGCTACGTACTGCATGTTGTTCCATTGGCGGATGTACAGTAACCCCCCTGGGGTGCGATCCACGTTAGTGGCGTTGTTGAGGTTGAGGCACGCGCAAAGGTAGTGCTGGGCTTTTGAACGGTACTGTTCTAGTATGACTTGGTGTTTCTTGTGCTTATTATCTTCCACAAGGAACTGTCGGTGACCAATTACACAAGTCATTTTAGGTCAAAATATACTTTCCTACGTTGTCTTATTAAAACAATGTCTATTTGATTACATTATATTACAAGAAGAATAATTAATTAACTAGATATTGCATTACAATTTAGAATAAAGGAAAAGAAAAGTAGGGAGAGAGAGTTTTACCATGGAAGCAATGGTTTGAACACCAACGTACTTAACGTCCCAGCTGAATTCAGTGATGGCCCAAGTGGTCCCACCAAAGTCATTAGCATTCTCCAAAAGATAATTGAAATATTCATCCTTTTGGGTGGCCCTATAGAGCCAAATGGCAGCCCAAAGCAACTCATCCATGTACCCACTAACCGAACCATAATACCCTTTAGCCACTCCAACACTCTCATCATACTTCCCTTTGTACTTGTCACCAAACTCAAACAACTACAAAACAATATTATCCACTATCATTTATCAAATTCCAATTAACCTAAACCAACTTTGTAATGCCAATAAAACTAATTAACATACCTGTTGTGCATGATGCAAAAGTAGTTGAGAGTAATGTGGGTTTGTTCTCCTAAACACAATGGACGCCGCCGCCAACGCCGCCGCCGTCTCGCCGGCCACATCCGAGCCGGGGTTGTTTGCGTCAACCTTGTAAGCTCGCCGCGACGTCGTCATGTCTTCCGGCCGCTGCCAACAGTAGTGATCAGTGTCTCCGTCACCCACCTGAACATTTTCACTAATAAGTCTATACGTGTAACAAGTTTTATAAACAAATTTAACATTTTTTTACACGTAATACAATGTGATTATATTTTTAATTTTATAATATTGGATCACGTAATAATTTTTCATTTTCAACACGGCGACAGCGAGTGATAGCACGCGTCAGTCACGACGAGATGGCAGGAATTTAAGGAAGAGACTGTTGACTATTCCGACATAAAATGTATTCCTCCGGTGAGAGTTGAACCCTTTCTGAACGGCACCGCGTGGGAAAACAATTTAAAAAGAAAAAAAAGACCGGAATTGGATAGAGATAGAATTAAGGAATTGAAAAACCTGGACCCAAAGAACATTTGGTTGTGTGTGGGCCTTGATGAAATAATCGGTTCCCCACTTGATAGCCTCCAGAGCGTGAGCATACTCGCCGGCAGCGGCGATTTGTTGGCCGTATTGTATGGTAGCCCACGAGAGAAGCGTTATGGTGAATGCCATGGGTAGCCCAAATTTCACATTGTCCCCAGCATCATAGTACCCTCCCACCAAGTCCACCTACATGTCCCAAAAACAACAACATGCATGTATAGTTTTAAGGTTGGTTTGGATGTTATGTTATATATATATATATGTAAGTGTGACATAATAATGTAAATATTGTGTACCCCTTGTTCTAGGCCATCGGTGAGGGCAGAATGGTGACGCCAAGTGAGCCTTTGGTTGTAGGGTAAGCGACCTGAACGCTGTGACTCAAAGTAGAGGAGGCTCTGGGAGAGGGCTTGGCCATAGTTGAAGGAGTGACAAAAGGGAATGAGAGAGAGTAAAGCAAGGCATAGGGATAGTGTGTTCTTTTCAACTTTGCCTTTCTTCATTTCTCCCACCCTATCATCCATCATCAATATCTCTTTCTCTTTATATATGGAGATCACGCTGCCATCTCTTGTAGGGTCCTCGCTAGTGCATTTTGTCTCAATAGGATGTTACAAAACTTAATTTTGAATCAAGGCGCGTGGATGTTACTTACGCCTCAGTTTCCACTCTATTTGAACGGCTATATTATATTTGAGGAATATTTGAACAGTAAGGTAATTAATGACTTGTGATGGATCGAAATTTTAAAACCAGTGTAGTTTTTAGCTGTTTGAAAAGTATTTAGGACTTGTTTCGAGGTGGTTTTTAGCTTTAATTTTTAAAATCTATTGCATTAGATGATAGATATTAAAAGAATATATAGGACATCATTTTTAATCACAAAGATTAAAAAGTAAAGTTTATAAAATTATAAAGAGTAATATGAGATTTAAATTATTTTTAATTTTTAATTATCGTTTTTAGATTTTCTTCTATCAATTTTAGTTCTAAAATGTATTAAATTTAAAATTTTCTTATTCTATTGAAATTAATTTAAACGTGTATTTATGTGATAAGTAATGTTAATGATAGTTGTATTAGTAATGATAACAAATATAGTAATATATAAGTGATAACGGTGGTGATGGTCATCTTAATTGTAAAATGAGAATGGGTACTCTTCAAAATTTGACTGATTAACAAATATAGTAATATATAAGTGATAACGGTGGTGATGGTGGTCTTAATTGTAAAATGAGAATGGGTACTTTTCAAAATTTGACTGATTAACCCGTCTTGGTGCTACAATTTTGCCGAACCAGAAAAGCTAAAGTATCAGCTTGTGAAAATAACTTTGTTGCATTTGTGATCTTTAAAACCTTGCTGCACTTGAACTTGAATCTCTAAAATATTACTATGAAACAAGGATCAGTGAGCCAATTTTCAGTTCATTAAAAAGAGATTGAATTTAAGGAATTGGATAGCTGATTATGCATACCATACCTGCTCGATGGAAGTGCTGCAAACTGCAACATGGACGGACTCCTTGATCCCATTTTGGTTTTTAGTTTATGTCACTGTGGTATAATGCTCACTTTATTTTTTATGGCTAAACAGCGAATTCTGAATATAAGATTCTGTTTTGCTACTCGAGAAAAGAACAAATTAAATAAGCGATGAGTGCATGAGGATCCAAACTCTCTCTTTTGGGAATACAGGATCCGTTTTGGAATTTGAAGAAATGGATGAGGTAATATTGTATCATTTCCGATCATTTCATATTACGGAAATGTGTTTGAATTTTGTTCATTTATCGTTGCTCTTTACTTTATAAGTTACAGGTTTGAGTGTTCCCGATTTGTTTGATTTGATTCATGGTTTACTACGGTGAGAGTTTATTACTTTACAAGGGAAGATGAGATTGTTGTGCAAATATCTTTGGGTTTTTGTATTTTCTTTGTGAAAGAATAAACTCAAATATATAAGTCGATTGTATCTCACTTTGATAGACTCATATTATTGAAAGAACAATAACAAATAAGAAAAGAGGAAAAGTTATTGTGTAATTGGCATATTTATAGACAACATTTAATATTGGTAACTTTGTTTTTGGAGTTTTTATCTTCTTATTTTTTATTTATAAGCAATTTTTTTTTGGTAAGGAGTTATAATTTCTTATTTGTAAATATTAGTGCTTAATTTGATTGGTTGGCTGTATTCGAAGTTTGTGTATTAGTTGAATACTTTTTTTTGTACATTTTATTGGTTATAGTAGAAATTTTACTTTTATGTGAACAACTTTCCTTACATTCAAGAATTTTTCACATAATTTTTTTTTTTTATTTCTTAAGGCTTAAGCTGATATATTATCTCATTTTTACACTATTTTATTAGTACTCCTTCCTTATTCTTGAAGGTTGAGGAAATTTTATTTTTGAAGCTGATTACTCTATTGTTTAGATGTTTTTATTGTGTTACCTTTCTCCCCCATCAAATATAAGACTAATGATTGTATGCTGAAAGCAACAGATAGATAAACAAATTCCTTGGAAATATGAAATCGACGAGGCGTGGAGCAGTAATAATCTTAATTAAAGATAAGAAAATTCACCAAAACTAAATCCTTCAAGACAGACAACCCAAAAAAAACAGCACAATTCTATTCTTATTTGACAGTCACCTCAAGTGTTCCATGTAAATGATATTTGAATGATAAAATAGGATCTTAGAATTCATAGTTTTCACATATAAGATTAGATAGAAATATTAACCTTGATCCATGATGAGATTGAAGATTTTGAATCTTTATAGAATTTGTAAGAAGAATCTTTTTTTATCTCTTTCTCAAATTCTTTTCTTTGTACTAATTTTAAGAGACAAACTTTCATATTCATGTTCTTCCATTATATATATTGTTTCCATCAAACAACATATCCCTTCATTAAAATATAATAACTCATTTTTAAAAGTCATATCCTTTCATTCAAAATAATTGAATAATATATTTCCAAAAGTCATATACTTTCATTCAAAATTATTGAATAATATAAGTCATATCCTTTCATTCAAAATAACTGAATAATATATTTCTAAAAGTCATATCCTTTCCACACACATGAGACATTAATTTCTTACACCCCAACCTAAATAAAACACACAGAAACATGAAAAAATATTAAAAAATTATTCAACTTCTGTACATTACCTCAGGATTTTAAATCAAAGTCAGACCATCAAAAGACATACTCCTTCCGTTTTTTTGTTTGACGTTTAAGGTTATGCACAAGAATTAAGAAAATGATTGATATTTTAGTATTTCAAAGTATTTATTACTTATTTTCCTGTTATACCCTTTAGGTGATTGGAGAATAAATAAGTACATTAAAAAATTAATAAACACATTGTTCAGTAAACATACATTAATTATCAAAGATAAAATAATTATTAAGTCATTAATTTTACAATAGTGACAATGAAAAAAGAACAAAAAAAATAATGTCAAAATGACTATGAATAAAAAATGGAAAGAGTATTAAATATTCTTATCAACAAAAGATAAATAAATACTCCCCTCATTTTTTATTTCATAGTCGTTTTGACATTATTTTTTTTTTCTTTTTTCATTGTCACTTTAATAAAATCAATGACTAATTAATTTTTTTATTTTTATATTTAATAATTAATGTGTGTTTACTGAATAATGTATTTTTTATTTTCAATGTATCTATTTATTTTTCAACCACTTAAAAGGTATAACAAGAAAATAAATAATAAATATTTTAAAAAATTAAAATATCAATCATTTTTTTAATTCTTGTGCATAAATCTTAAATGTAAAAAAAATGGAAGAAGTAATATCAATTGAGCTAAACTAATTAAAAAGAGTGCCATACATACAAATTAACAGCCTAAATCCGCGTTTATGACAACTATCAAATGGAAACAAAAAGCATTAAAGAAATATCTTAATTATAGATATACTAATGAAGTGCAGGAATAAAGTATCACAAATTTTGAATAGTTACAGAAGTAAATATCGAAAGGAATATACCAACTAATTCGATAATTTTTTGACAATGAAGCAGAAAAACACATAGGCTACATTGTCCTGCAGTAACCAGAATTGATTATCATGATTCCTGAAGTAAATATAATTACAGGAGAGAAATGTCAAATATAAAATTTAATACATAATTTGATCTATGTTATTTGAATCCTTAAAAAGAAGGGGAAATAAATTAGAGCTATGACTTGAACAACAAAGTATTTCCACATGAAAATCTTGAGCAACTTGCCATTTACTGCCTCTTTGAATAGATGTGGAGGGGAAAAAAAAAAAAAGCAATGACCATGGAAAGAACTAGTGCCAACAACCAATATCCAGATAAAATGGCCACAAATTCTTGTTCAAATAACTTTTCAAACTTGATAAAATGGGAAAGATTGAACTACAGAAAACATACCACATCAAATCCACCATTATGTTATGTTATGATTCAAGACTATAAAACAGCTAATGGGCCTTCGAACCACTAAAATAGAAAGAGTGAACTACAGAAAGCATACTACATTCTAAGGTCCGTGTGTGAAAATTTTTTATTGGGCCAGTCCGCCCATTCGGATTATAGTTCTAAAGGCCTACCCATATAATAGTTAGGCTCATGATAAACACACCTCCACTCTCCTATAAGCACACTCCCTTTTAAAAAAAATATATATAAAATGTCTAAATTACCCTTAAAAAAAAAATTCCTAAATTTACACCCCTCCTTCTTCGCACCCCCTTCCTCGCACCCCCTTCCCCGCAAGCAGAACGGGCCGTACTGCAAGCAGAACGGCCCGTACTGCAAGCAGAACGGCCCGTACTGCAAGCAGAACGGCCCGTACTGCTTGCAATACGGCCCGTTCTGTTTTCAGTGCTGGCCGTTCTACAGCAAAACGGGCCGTACTGTTTTCAGTACGCCCCGTTCTGCAAGCAGTACGTCACGTTCTTCAATCAGTACGACCCGTTCTGAAAGCAGTACAGGCCGTTCTGCTTGCAGCAAGGGCCGTTCTGCTTGCAGCAAGGGCCGTTCTAGGGCCGTTCTGTTGCAGTACAGGCCACCGCGTCACTTTTAAAATGGCTACCTTATGACTGATTTTAAAACCCCGATTTTAAAAGTTATTTTTGTACTAATCTTTCTTTTCATAGAACATGTAAGAGTTTTTCTCATACAAAATCACTTGCCGACATTGCGCACCCCTCTTCTTTCTCTTTCTGGCACTCCTCTTCTTCTTCTTCTTACTGTTACGAAAAGTTCTTTCCGGAATTATATAAAAATGTTCCGGAAAATACTTTCCATAATATTAAATTCTTATTCCGGAAAGTATTTTCCGGAAATATTTTGTTATATAATTCCGGAAAGTATTTTCCATAATATTAAAGTTACTATTACGGAAAGTTCTTTCCGGAATTATATGAACAATAATTTCTATTCCGAAAAGTACTTTCCGGAATGCTAATGACTGTAAAAGTACTTTTC